AATTCTGACAGGAAGCTATTACCTGAACTAAGCTTCAAAAGCCTTCCGGTGCTGAAGACAGGGTTTGACAGAGAAGTCAGTAAGTCTCCACAGGAATGGGATGTGGTGGCCTTCATGTCATTTGAAGGTTTTATGCTATATTCTCGATAGTTCTTGCTTCTCTGAGGCCTTTTGCCAAGACTTCCATGCAGGGATAGATTTTGAGAATAATGACTATCATAATTTTCTAGACCAACATCTGAAGGTAACTGATGGGGATGGATCTGGCTAGAATCACCCACATCCAGGCGTTTACCCACTGAGACATCATGGGTAAGCTGGTAAGTATCAGCCTTTAGTATCAAGTCCTTTTCTGGAGAAGCTGAAGACTTATTGTTCAAAAAAGATAGTCGGTACCCTTCTCTAGCCATCTTCTCTGGGGATCGGACTGTGGACTGATGAGGAGAGTAGCGTCTGAATTCTAACCACCACCAAGGGGAAAAGAAAACACAAAATACAATGAGAATTGTTGGCTCAATTAGGGTACCTCTGTTCACTGGACATACCTCTGTCTACCAGAAAAAGTTCTCAGGAAGAGATGGTTTATAATTTTGATAAGTAGTAGCATAAAGTGATAAAAGGACTTTTTACATGGGACAACAATAAAACATGATGGATACTGAGTAAACAGTAAAGAATCTCTAACATTCTGGAGATAAACTTCATGTCACCCTAATTCCCTAGGAATTTCCTCCTAAAGCTGCAGTATCAGAGTTTTCTAAATGCTGCTTTCTATTTTATTTTATTTATTTTAAATAAACTCTACACACAATGTGGGGCTCAAACTCATGACTCCAAGATCAAGAGTCACATTTTCTTCTGACTGAGCCAACTAGGAGCTCCTCTAGATGTTTTTTTCATATAAAAAATTTGGTGCACCCCATATGACAATAGTTGTAATCTTATGTGTTCAGTGTATAGTCAATAGTTGGTAAGTCTATGATTTCATAGACTTCTTGCAATAAAACTAAGCCCATTCCCACCCCCAAACTTCACTCAGAGGTTCTAGGTTCATACACTGGGAACCAATATTCTAATCCAAAACTTATGAGAATCCCTAACTAGCTACAAAGCATTTCTTTCAGACAGCTATATGTGTCATCTCTAAAAAGCCTCAGAGTGGAGCAACTATAAGTCTTTGTGCTCTTAAGTTTTCAGAGTTTCATATGCTTAAAGGTCTTCCTTAGGAAGCAAAAAATACTATCCCTGACTTAGTCATTTTAACTTAAAAAAGTGGAACCAATCACTTTTTATCTGTATAGGATCTATAGAATATCAACGTTTTACCCAGGGCCAGCCTATACAGTGGGGGAAAGGTTGTAGAACAATATTTTTACATAACAAAAATAATCTAACAACAAGTGATGAGATTAGGTAATTCAGATTGTGCTTCCTGTTGAAGATACTAAAAAAGTGGGATGGTACATGTTCTTTTTTTTTTAAATTTTTTTTTTTTTTCAACATTTATTTATTTTTGGGACAGAGAGAGACAGAGCATGAACGGGGGAGGGGCAGAGAGAGAGGGAGACACAGAATCGGAAACAGGCTCCAGGCTCCGAGCCACCAGCCCAGAGCCCGACGCGGGGCTCGAACTCACGGACCGCGAGATCGTGACCTGGGCTGAAGTCGGACGCTTAACCGACTGCGCCACCCAGGCGCCCGGGATGGTACATGTTCTTAAACGCACCAAAGAGGGGGCACCTGGGTGGCTCAGTCGGTTAAGCATCCGACTCAGGTCGCTCAGGGCATGATCTTGTAGTTTGTGAGTTCTAGCCCTGCGTCGGGCTCTGTGCTGACAGCTTGGAGCCTGGAGCCTGTTTCAGATTCTGTATCTCCTCTCTTTCTTCCCCTCCCCACTCACTCTGTCTCTCTCTCCCTCTCAAAAATAAATAAACATTTATAATAAATATAATAAATAAACATCAAAAAGCTTGTTAGCTAGTAAGGAATTTCTAGGCCAAAATCTAGTTGAAAGCAAGGACTCACATAGGTAAGTCTAGCACTTAAAGTCACTTCTACCCTCAGAAGTTTTAGGGTGAGAGGGACGGAAGTAAAGTTCAGCATCCATCCAAAGTGAGGAGTATGACAAACCATTCCTCTCCCCTACCCTCCCCACATACATATGAAGATGGAACCCCAAGCAGGATGCAACCTTCAGAGTAAAGGTAAACTGGAAATAAGCCAGTCCTTGTATTGACAGGTAATCCAGGTTTGCATCATCTGAGTGGGTCCAGGGAACCTCAAGCTTTGAGCTTGGATTAAAGTGATCCCAGAATGAGGGGCGCCTGGGTGGCGCAGTCAGTTAAGCGTCTGACTTCAGCCAGGTCACGATCTCGCGGTCCGTGAGTTCCAGCCCCACGTCAGGCTCGGAGCCTGGAGCCTGTTTCCGATTCTGTGTCTCCCTCTCTCTCTGCCCCTCCCCCGTTCATGCTCTGTCTCTCTCTGTCCCAAAAATAAATAAACGTTGAAAAAAAAAATTAAAAAAATAAAAAATAAAAAATAAAAAAAATAAAGTGATCCCAGAATGAGAGTGTCCCTGGTACCTGGTAGAAGCAAATGAAAATCTGATCTGGAAAAGATACCTTTATGTAAGACTTTAAATGATACAAATAGTTTTTCAAATATATAGCAAATAACCAAAGCAAAGGAACAAAAAAGGAAATAAGACAACACAAGTATGAGGAAAAAACAAAATGACAACAACTTCAGATATTAGAATTAACATCCAGTGTATGCAACAGCTATGTTTACTATGTTTAAAGAAATATTAAAAAAGCTTTAAATTTTCTGTTTATACAAACTGACCCAGAAGACTTGGAAAAAGAAACAAAACTTATAGAACTAAAAAATAAAACTATTGAAATTAAGAACTCAGCAAGCAAGCAGATTAGACACAACTGAAGACAAGGTTAGTGAACTTAAGATGGATCAGAAGGAATTATCCAAAGTGCAGATCAGACCAAAGAAAAACAAAAACCAAAGATGAAAAATACAAAAGAATAAGAGACAAAGAGGACAAAGTAAAGATCTCTAACATATATTTATTTAATCAAAATTCCCAAAAGGACAGAAAGAAAGGACAGGACATAAGTACACAAACAACATTTGAAGCACTTTCCAGAATTTTTGAGACACAATTCACAGATTCAAGTGTAATAACCACCAAACAGAATAAATAAAAAGAAATCCACATATCATACTGAAACTGAAGAAAACCAAAGACAATTGGAAAATCTTAAAAGCAGCCAGAGAAAAAAAGAGAATATCCTTGCAGGAATGACAGACCTCCAGCTGACTTCTCAAAAGCAAAAACAAAAGAATACAGTGGAATAACTTCAATTTTCAGAAAGAAATAACTGCCAACTTAGAAATTTATAACCAGCCAAAATACTTTTTAAGAATAATGGTAATGGGGGTGACTGGGTGACTCAGTTGGTTAAGCATCTGACTCTTAATTTCTGCTCACGTCATGATCTCACAGTTGTGAGATCCAGCCCCACGTTGGGCTCTATGCTGGGCATGGAGCCTGCTTAACATTCTCTCTCTCCCTCTCCCTCACCCTCTCCCCCACTCACACTCTCATTTTCTCTCTCTCAAAAAAAAAAAAAAAAAAAAAAAAAAAAAAAAAAAAAAAAGAATAATGGTGAAAGAGAAGCATTTTCATACAAACAAAAACTAAAAGAATTCAACACAGTAAACCCACACTAAAGGAAATTCTAAAAGATGTACTATAAGCTAGAGAAAAATGATCTCAAAAGGGAAATCTAGGATGAAAAAAAGAAATAAACAAAGTGGTAAATACAAAGATAAATCTAAATGAGCACTGGCTGTATAAAAACTATTTCATATGGGTTTAGAAAGTATAGAGAATTAAAATCTATAATAATAATACATAAACTGGAAGGGAGTAAAAGAAGTAAAGTACTTTAAGTTCTTTAAATTATCCAAGAGAAAAGTTAAGGTATTGATTAATTATTTTTTAATTTTTTATGTTTATTTTTGAGAGAGAGAGAGAGAGCGCAGAGTGCGAGGGGGGAGGGGCAGAGAAAGAGGGAGACACAGAAGCTGCAGCAGGCTCCACACTGTCAGCACAGAGCCCAACGAGGGGCTCAAACTCACGAACCGGGAGATCATGACCTGAGCCAAAGTCAGATGCTTAACCAACTGAGCCTCCCAGGCAGCCTAAGGTATTGATTAATTTTTTAATTATAATAGTGAAGGGCACATATTGTAGTTTAGGGAATAATAGTAAAAATATTGAAACAGTATATAACTTATAAACCAGTAGGTGGGAAAAAATGGATGAATAAAAACATAATAAATCCAAAAGAGGACAAGAAAGATAAGAAAAAGTAAAAAGAAACAGTCAGCCAGTACAAAAAATCAAGAACAAAGGAAGTCAGAATATCCACTCTTCAACCAGCAAAGCCTTACAGGTCACTAAGCTTCCAGGGCAGCCCCCTACAAGAGCAGAAAAGAGTTAGTTGACCCTGTAGGGCCCTAGGGCTGAGACACCTCCATCTTCTCCCAAATCTCATAACATCTGGATTTCTCTGATTAGTGTGGAGAAAAATACTCCCTGCACAAAATATTTACCATCTTCTTGGTGATTGTCACTTGGGACCTCCCTTCTTGCCACTTCCTGCAATGAAAAAAAAGTTTGAGTGTTTAGGAAAAGGCAGTCAATGGGTATCCAAACATGAGCTTACTAGATAGACCAGGGGTTCAGAATACTTTCCTATTAGTAACCAAGTCTATCCTTACAACCTAGGGAAACAGACCTTCAAGCAAAGGTCCTAGTTTAAGCCTGTTTAAATTTTTTTTTTAATGTTTATTTCTGAGAGACAGCACAAGCAGGGGAGGAGCAGAAAGAGGGAGACACAGAATCTGAAACAGGCTGCAGGCTCTGAGTTGTCAGTGCAGAGCCTGACGTGGGGCTTGAACCCATGAACCATGAGATCATGACCTGAGCTGAAGTCAGACACTTAACTGACTGAGCCACCCAGGTGCCTCTTAAGCCTATTTTTAAGTAGCCACAATCCAAAAAGATTCTAGAGCTGCTTTGGAGTAGGTAAGGAGACTCTCTGAAAAGACAAAATAGCCTCAGTTGGTAAAAGACATACCAGTGAAATACTGTATTTTTTCTGCTTTAAATAGCTCAGCATAGAAGTTAGATGGTTCACATTTTCCAACTTTATTTTTTCTGTTTAAAGAACTCTTGTAGGGGCGCCTGGATGGCTCAGTCGGTTAAGCGGCCGACTTCGGCTCAGGTCACGATCTCACAGTCCGTGAGTTCGAGCCCCACGTCGGGCTCTGTGCTGACAGCTCAGAGCCTGGAGCCTGTTTCGGATTCTGTGTCTCCTTCTCTCTGACCCTCCCCCGTTCATGCTCTGTCTCTGTCTCAAAAATAAATAAACTTTAAAAATAAATAAAAATAAAGAACTCTTGTATTTATTTTACCTTCTGATAAAGCTGAGCATCAACTACAGGTGTTACTGAGAGTTTTAAGAGATTGAAAATTAATTTAGGGCATAATTAAGCAAGGATTAATACAAAAGAGAAAGCCATCTAGGGTTTGCTTTTTTAAATATCATCTTCAAGTTTTCAGCTTGGTAGTTATAGAGAAGAAGAAATCCTACTTATTTCCTAAACTAAAAGAATATATAACAAGCTATTTAATTTCCTTTTTGTCTGTCACTTCCAGTAGTTTCAATGAAATTGTGTTTTTTAATTTAAAAAGTGTTATTTAATTTTAGCTGTATATTATTCTTTGTCTCCATTTCCTTTATTATTTGTAAATTTTATTTATTTATTTATTTTGGGAGAGAGAGAGAGCAGGGGAGGGGCAGAGAGAGAGAGAGAGAGAGAGAGAGAGAACCTTAAGCAGGCTCTGTGCCCAGCACAGAGCCGGACATGGGACTTGATCTCATGATCATGAGATCGTGACCTGAGCCTAAATCAAGAATTGGATGCTTAACTGACTGAGCCACACAGGCGCCCCATACTCACTCATATAAATGAGGCTTATATAATGGTTGTATTCCCCTAACCAATTTTTTTCACTAAAAGCTCATTAATTTTTGCCTCATCTTGCATAAATAATCTCTACCTCTCCATTGTCCACAACTTCTATGCCACCTTTATTTACCCCTAACTTTTCTTCTTTTATGTTCCAATGAACAGGCAGCTTTGGGAAAGCTACCCTTGAGATGTTAAGATTCAGTAATGAAAAGTCAGAGGTAGAAAATTTAAGGAAGTAAGGTAACAGGAGATGGAGACATTGGATAGAAAAGAGAAATTTTATGTTTATTTTCTTTATTTTGAGAGAGAGAAACAAGTGGGGGAGGAACAGAGAGAGAGGGAGAAAGCTAATCCCAAGCAGCATGGAGCTGGATGTGGGGCTCAAACCCACAAACTACAAGGTCATGGCCTAAGCCAAAATCAAGAGTCCCACGCTTAACTGACTGAGCCACCCAGGTGCACTGAGAGGAGAAATTTTAAAACTAGCCAAAACATCTGTTTGAGAGCCAAAATACTTGGCATAAAATGTGCTAAAAGTTGTATACATAAATATACTACATTTGATAACAAATTAGTAGGGGAGAGGGAAAAGGGAGATTGAAATTAATCGAGAAGGTCCTCTGTATTGTCTGTTCTTTCCTTTAATTTTATTTATTTATTTACTTACTTTTTTGCCCTTTTTTCCTTTTAAAGGGTCTAAAATGCCTTTATCAAACAAATGCTCTTAGACCTTCATAAATAGAGAGTCCAATGAATTATTGGTATTAATTATTGAGTAGTCAATAAATCAGCAGTAAAGTGAATACATTACCTGTGTCCCCAGTGAGTAAGTGTCCAATTTCTGATCTGCTATACCATTGCCCTGGGTTGCAGAAGTACTCGTTAGAGAATCCTTTATTTCCCGGTTGGGGAAGGGAATAAAAAGTCCTTTGTTTGAGTCTGTGTTAAAAGAAAAGGCATACAATGAAGCACTGACCAGATTTCAAAGGCAATATGTCTTATGGAAAGATACTACTGGAAGGCAAGTCACAAGATTGAGAGTTAGTTCTGGTGCCACCACCTGGAAACCATGTAAACTTGGGCAAACTGCTTAACCTCTCTGATTTTCTCCATTGTAAAACAGTGATGATAAAATCTAGACTACCTATCTCTTAGGGTTGAGGTAAGGTTAAAACAAAGTAATGGGGTATGTCAAGTTGGCTCAGTTGGTGGAACATGGAGTGTGCAACTCTTGATCGTGGGGTTGTGAGTTCGAGCCCCACACAGGGTGTAGAGATTACTTAAAAATAAATCTTAAAAACAAATAAACAAAACTATATACTAGTCCTAGCCACCCTAGAAACTGTTATCAAAAAGAGCCAGTTGGGGGGCGCCTGGGTGGCTCAGTTGGTTAAGTGTCGCACTTCAGCTCAGGTCATGATCTCATGGCTTATGAGTTCGAGCCCCGCGTCAGGCTCTGTGCTGACAGCTCGGAGCCTGGAGCCTGCTTCGTGTTCTGTGTCTCCTTCTCTCTCTGCCTCTCTCTCTCTCTCAAAATGAATAAACA